AAATTTTGATGATACTTGAAAATAGTTTTAAAATTAATTTATTTAATTTGTTTACTATGAAAATCTGAAATAGCTGTTAAGTCAAAAATATTCCACAACTGAGATATCAGTTGTGCAAATAAATTAAACAATAAAGATAAACAAGTAACATCATTAAGCATATTTTATTTCAACGTACGAATATTTATCTCAAGCCAAGTATACTAACCTCAAAAATATTTCATTAATTTCGTTTGGGATCGTTCCACTCACACGTCATTACGTAGAGACAAAAGCGGAAGAATGTAGTGCAGAAATATTTGTATAAAATATGAATATTTTCATCTATGGCAGTTGCGAGAATCTGCATCCAATCCTGCTTAGCCGCCTCACTGCCTCGCTGCCTCACTTGTGTGCGCATTGCTCTGCCCCTATAACTATGCTAATTTTAGCTCGTTTTTAAAATTACAAGCACGCGTACACATTTATTCGAACAGTTGTAAAAAATACATGACACACTCAGCTCACTCTGTACATCACTTGGACGGATGGACTGACTGCCTGACTGTCTGACTGTCTGACTGCCTGAGTGCTTGACTGACGACTGTTACATTGTGTAAGGTAGTGAAAGCATATGTACGTATGTACGAGTATTTATGGAACTGAGACTATTTTTACTTCATCCTAGATATGTGCTTATGGTGATGTATTCTTATTGTTGTTGTTGTTTTGTTACAGAGTAGGATGTGTTACGTTGATATTTCTACTGTCGTTCATGGTTTTTCTACAACCTCTGCTATTAGTGTGGTTGTTAATGTCCGTTATTTTAAAATAATAGTGATGTAAGCATCAGAGTTTATATGACAGAATAAGTATGTGCTTATATTTATGAATATTCCATGTAACATTGTGAACATGTATCATTGTGTATATACATTCGTACATATTAAGTCAAAGTCGAGACACCATCTTTTAGATATGTGGTGCCGTAAAACTTTTGAACTCACTGTTGTTAACGCTATAAAAAAAATTACAAAAATTTAAAAAAAAAAAAAAAAAGATACAGTTCCACTTAGTTTCGGAACATGAAATCATTAAAGTTTTTTTTTTGACTATGAATTTAAAAGTTTAGTATTTTTTTGGTATATTTTTAATAATTTTTTTCATTCCAGCATTCTTATGTGTGTATATTTTAATATAAAGTTGAGAAACCAAATCACGTTTCATGTTTTACAATTTATTTTTTCCCCATTTTCATTTAATGACGCTTCGTTGTTAAAGTAATTTTCTGTTTCTATATTTTATTATTTATTTTACGTTGTATTTTATTTTATTTATTTTCTTTTGAGTTTTTGCACATTTTAAACTAATAGTCTTGGCATTTTTCACGTTCGACTTTGGCACTGCTAAAGTCTGTTATCAGCTCACTCGTATGTGACAAATACACCAAATACACACTTAAACTCTAAATCTATTCGCACACATGTAAACACATAAACGCACATCACTTTAATATATTTTAAAATGTTAAATTCACGCTTGGCTAACGCTGATATCCTTACCATCCTTACCGTCCTCACCTACCGTCCCGAGTTCATTAGTTTTGTGTGGCTGTATTTGTGAGTGCAGACGGCACACTATGTACGGAACGGTGGGTGTAGAGTGTGTGTGTGTGCGAGTGCGAGTTGGAGTTGAAGTTGGAGTGTGAGTGTGCTTTGCTGCTGCTTATACCATAGTTTCTGAGTGTCAGCAGCATCATTAGTTGCATATTTTAAGGAGTTGATTTATTTAAAGAGTTAGCGAATATGGCACAACTTGGTTTCGTGTTTGTTTTGTGTGCTCTGCTCTGCTCCTGTCATAAACGCAAGTTGGGAAAGTGTGTTGACCTTATTTTGTTATAATTTCTTTAAACTTTAAGTTTCACTTCAATTGGAGTTTTATTGCGGACTTATTTATTTATGATGAAAGTAATATAGATGAAAGTAATATAGAGTTTTAAAGAAATAAAGACAGGCAAGTATTGAGTAAACGACTTAAATTGCTATATGATACCAGTAGAAAAGAGCTAATAATGGTAGCTCTTAAAAAAAAATTTAAAAATAAACAAAGTCATTACACATAATTGCAAATTGATATCTGATGCACTTAACAAAAGCATAAATATAATCACAGTATAAGTAATAATACAATTAATAGTGTTTTAAAATTTGACGAGTTTATGCAGTCTTGGTAAATAAACCAACGAAAACTAAGGAAGATGACCCATCTGACTGAGGTGACTGACACCTCGAATCGATCTTGGTTATTTTACAAACATTTCAAACATTTTGAGTTGAGAAAAAGTGTACACATTATGAGAATGTATCTGAAATGGAGAGCGCATAGTGAGCGTTTTTATGATTATCAGTAATAAATACAGTTAAAAGAAAAATATTCACTAAGTGAGCTTATAAGCTTGATATCTTTTAGTCGAGTATGCAGAAAAGATAATCGTGTCAGAAAAAGCCCCACCTTTATGTTGTATGATCTTAATTTAATATATTATATATAATATATGTTCTACATATTTGATTATTAAAAAAATCTGAATGAATCTATTATAGAAAATATTTATATGACAAAATTTTGACATGGTTTTATAAAATGGGCATTGCAAACTTTCTTTTATCGCATAAACCGCTTCGGTGATAGTTGCAGTTTTACTGGCCTTAATTGATAGTAACGAGAAAACAAGGAGAAAAATGTTTAAAAAAAAATGAACCTATTAGCCTCAAAATATGCAATACAAGCTGTATCAACGTGCAATGAAAACGTGAAAATTCGCCCCAATTTACTGAGTGCATATTAAAAATGTTGGAGATTTCACCTTTTATTAGCATCAAATATTAAATACAGATGCAGATGCAGATGCAAATGCCCGCATTATACCAGGGCCAAGCCTACTTTATCAACATTTTTAATATCTATCTTTATTTTTATTTTTCTTTATTTTTAATTTGTGAATATAGCAGTATTATAAGCTTTCACTCCTCCCTTAACCTTTTTTTTTTGTGTGATTTTATTGTTCTGTTTACACAGCCTATTTTCTGCTTACAATTTTTTCTTTCGTTGCATATGTGAAGTTTCCGTAATGTTGCTGCTGTTACTCTTGTTGTTGTTGTTGTTGTTGTTACTTTCCATTACCTTACTTTACGCTAAATTCAACCTTTACGTAGTGACCCAAAATTCTTAATTTTTTCCCACGCTTGTCATTTTAACGCTATTTTTGTTGAGCTTTCTCTTTTTATTCGTTATGTATTAAAGTTGTAAAAAATCACAGAAAAAAAAAACAAAAGAAAGTTTTAATGGAAATCCTTTTGTAGGCTATTTGTGTTCTTTGCATTTTATTTGTTCGGGGCGAGAGGGGGTAATGTAACTCGCTGCCATCGTTATTTGCATAGTCCTTTTTGGAAGCAGAAAAGATGTGAAGCTCATGAAAAGGATGTAAACCAAACCACCAAAGGCCTTTCATTGTTTTTTTCACACATTTTCTTGAAGTTGGCAGCACCAGTATTGTCGTTGATAGTAGATTTTGCTTTGAGCTACTTTTTTCCGCCTTTCTGCTTTTCTGCTTCTCTGCTCTTTTGCATACTTTTTCCGTTTTTGCGGTTTGTTTGGTTGTGGTCTGATATGTATTAAGAGTACCCCTGTGCGTATGAGTGCTCATTGCGGACTGCACAAACATTAAAGGAAGTTTTGTTGGCATTTTCCCGCTAACTTTTCCAGCTTATTGAAAAGATTCTAACAAAGAAATGTTGGAAAGTAGAAAAATGACTTAAAATATGAGCTTCATTATGAATTTCCATGTATATTTTTTCTACGCCTCAGGCGTTTAACCTTGTAATTTCTAATCTGTTTAATTTATTAAAATTCCTTTCGTTTGTTATGAGCTGAAAGAGTAATTTTAAACAGCGGAAAATTGTGGAAAATGAAATTGTTTTATGTAAATAATATTGCTTTAAAAAATAATAATTTACTTAATAGTTTATTTGCAATATTTTTATCAAGAAGTACAATCACCATATGTGGTTATTCCAGTCAGATTAAGTTGTCCGTTAGTCTATTATTGTTTATTTTTTTCCGTATTTTTAATCCATTATAACACACCAATTTTTTCGCATTCAATAAAATCCTTTGGTAGTAGCCTTTAATTAGAAAATGGGATGTAGACGTCAGTAAAACACTTAAAATGAGCTATTACTGGCTTAATAAAGCTATAGTAGCGGGGCTATCATCAACGACAATATAAGATTCCACTTATTTTTGCATCTTACATTTCTGAGTAAATGTTCTTTAAATTCTGAAAATATTTCCCTCTTAATGCTATACGATAAAGGTAAATGCCGTCGTCATTCAGAAGAAAAATTAGATTTACTTCATTTTTGACAGCGCATTTCGTTTATGAATAAAGTTCATTGCACATGACATTTGGGGGTTTTTTGTTGTTTTTCCCCGTTTTAATGTATTGTTAAAGTTTAAAATAAAAAATAAAAAAACATAAAAGAGCATAAAAGAATTTTAATGAAAACATTTTTATGAAATATGCGTGCTTGAATACCATTTAAAAGCGCCGAAGAGCGCTGAAAAATATTTGTAACGCAATTTAAATTTATTTTTAAAATTATTTATGAGTTGTAAAAAATTTTTAACGAATCAAATTGTTTCTTTTTTTACAGGTAAAGGTAAAAATTCATTTATTAAAACATTTCCCAATACAGTGGTAAGTGAATAGGTCATAGAGTGCTAGCAGTGATTTTAACCCCTACAAATTTTAAATTTATTAATTAATTATTATAAATTATTTAGTTTATTCATTTGAATAATTTATTCGCATATATCTATTAAGTAAAGTCTCTTAAGTAAAGTAAGTGTCTCCACGAAAATAATAGTACAGGTTTAATAATCAATTATTTATTTAATAGCTGCTTTATGATTTCTTTCTAATAAAGCACAGCAAACTTTGATAGTAATTTTATAAAACCCCGAATTGGAACATAAAATTCAAGTACGGCTTTGGGTCTAGTGACCAATTAACACTGACTCTAAGCTTTTATTTTGGCAGAGTACGATTTCAACCCGTGGTACTTGCAGTCACAAAAACCTGTTAATGAATAATTCAATATAAGAAATATTTCTAAAAAGTCTATTGATGATGGGTATTTGACCATATTCGAAACATCTGTATGATCAGTCAAAAATTCAAATATTTTAATATAAGAGTCTTTAGTTACAATTTACTACTCCTCAAAAACATTTTTATTAAAAACAGTATCCATTAAGAAAATAATTTCTTTCGTCATAGTTGACGTTAAAAATTAAAATTAATAAAAATTCATTATCCATTAATATGTGCAATTTGGAAAAGTGTTCTGTAATAATTAAAAGAATAAATGGGTGTTCAATCATGAATTTATATATTTTATTATTATAGTTTATTATTCTAAATCCATTATCACCTAAATTCTTAGAATAATGTACTAAGGAAAAATATAGGTAAATAGTAACATTTTTGACAATAGGACAATAGAAGGAAAATCTCTAGTGTTGAGACTTCCGTTCTTTTTTAACCTTTTTTTGCAAACAATAACAAAATGTAATACAGTCCATTAAAATCATATTATTTTAACCTTGATGTAAAATTAGTCTTAAGATAATTTTGTATAATTTTGTATACACAATACTCAATCAGTGTACGTCAATAATATAATAGTACAATGGGTGTATAAGATTGTATTTGATTTTGTAACCCATATGACCTGTCTGTCTGTAATGTTTAAATATTTTTCGAGCTGAAAGTTCAAAAATGTTTAATATAATAAATTATACTACAAAAAAAAAAAATTAATAAAAATATTGACACTTCGACAGCTTTAAGGTTAATTTTTTTAACATTTTTCAAAATTCACTGTATTTCAAACCACGTTTTTATTACCAGAAAGAATTAACGATCTAATATCAGATACATTATTGCCCCTTTCCATAAATAGCACATTCTGAATTCCTACAAAATTCCATCCGACTCATATAGACAGTCAGAGAAACAGTCCACTTCATTATACAAAATTTTTCTGCTACTTACATTGTGATGAAAAATATATAATCTTAAGACTTAAGAAATAAACATTCAGGTTAAAAATAAATGTAATGTAATAAATGCAAATTTTTAATCATTTTTTTTAATCATTCTTTAGGGCTGGGTTTCATCACTGAAAATCAATCATGCATATACAAATAAAAACACGAATTAATTCCAAATTGTCTAAAAATCCTTTGGGCATTTAAAAACACAAACCACTCTTGGCCATTAAATAGTTTATTTTGGTAAAAACAAAAAAGAAGAATAAGATATACGATAACCAAATCTCCATACATATCCTGTAGAGGAGTATGCCTAGCAATTTGTTAATCATAGTATTTGGGATTAATACAAAATTCATTATTTCGCATTGAAATTTTTATATTTACACTTAAGTGAAAGGCAATATTCTTATAAATGTACTTACAAAAAAGTTCGAAAAGTTATCTAAACACGCACTCAACTGCCTATCTTCCTCCAACTTCAATGTCTATTTAATCCTTTCATGTTCCCTGAAATTTTGTTGCCCACGGCGACTGTTAGAACAAAGTTATTCTACACTGCTCTTGCCGTTCAAATACAAAAACGTGTGGTATGGACAGGTTTGTATCTTTATCCAGAATATTTATTTAAGAATTTAGTTGAGCTTACTCCACTTGTTTGCATTTGAAATTAAAAACATTTCAAAGAAACCCAACTTTTATGCTTTCGTCTCTGTTTGGTTGCTAAATTGTGTTGCAGGACTCAGTGCTGCTCTTTCAGCTGCAATAGGCACTTCCAGCCAATATGTGCGCAGTTCATTAAAATTCATCCCGGCGGTACACTTTTAATTTTAATTCATAAGTTATTGTATGTGTCTCTGAGATATACGAACTAACTACATTCTTTGAAACTCACTCGAATCTTCCTTGATTCTCTGCTCTTTAATTATGCACCACGACATGCACAATGATTTGAAGTTTAAATTTATGCATAGTAAGTAACGCCGTATTCTGCCTGAAGTAAAAGGGATATTTTCATTTCGGTTACCATATTTGCCGCGGTCTTATGCATACTCTGCCCGCTATGTCCGCATATAGATATATACACACAGCCAATAAAGTCTGCGTACACCTTACGAATTTTGAAATGTAATGAAGAAACACAACATAATTAAATATTTTATATTAAAATTTTTACATATATTTATTCTATGAAATCTTAAGTTTAAATAGCAAAAGACAAAAATTGTATTCGTGTGTTCCATCTTGAGATAACGGGATAAAAGTGTCCCTGCATGTAAATATAGGCCCCATAAAGTCTGCGTAAGGTGTACGCAGACTTTATTGGCTATGTGTATATTGCAATATATATACTTTTGTTATTTTTTTGTTGTTGTGAAAGTTAAAAATTTTTTTAACAGCTTTGCCTAAAATTTGATCTTCGCCACTGTATCTTCTTGAAAGAAAAATATTTCACGGCTATTTTAGTTACTCTTGCCTGTGCTGTGAATTTTCTATGTCTAGGGTGTTTGGCTGTTTGTGCCAGAAATGACTTGTTCTTTGGCTTTAACAAGCTCATTATGAAAACATTGAAAGTAAACTTTTTAATAAATCAAATTAAGCATTTTAATTCCCTCAAGCGACGAGACTCAACGCTTGATCCAATACAGTAAATACTAAAGTCTTTTCCACCGTTAATAAAGTGTAAATAGAATATTTTCAAATAATTAATGAAGAATTTTGTGAAATATTTAACAATTGTAATTGAAATTGATTTCACTTTAGACTTTTTTTATCTCAACTACTTTAAATACAAATTGTATATATATAATTATGCATTATGCATACATATCTGAACTTTTCTGTTTTCAAAACAGTGTTCTATCTTGCACTTTAGGGTGTTTGTATAAAATTGGTTTAACCAAACACATTATGCTGAGTTGGTGTTTATTCTGATATTACACTTTGATCCTGTTTAAATTATATTTACTTATATTAACAATTTATCTCTACACCAATTCATGTGTTGGACTTGTTTAAGTGTTTGCAAAGTTCATAGCTAGAATTTAATTAATTAACAAAGTATTGAGTTTAAGCAAACACAATGAGAAGTACACACATTTTCGCTCCATGCAGATTTTCAGTTAGACAAGTATGAGATGCAAATATAAAACAAACTTTTTTGTGCTAGAAACGAAGCTTCCTGCACTTTTACTGCTTTAAGTCAATTCAAGCCTTCATCTTTAGGTTTTCTTATTAGAACTAAGCTAAGCAAATTGACGAAAGCCTGAAAGAATGAAGTCTGTCTGCACGGCTGTTTCTCACATGTGGAATAATTGAAAACTGTTTAAAAAGTAAATATGAGAAAACTTTTGAAGCACTTGTGTTTTGTGGTAATGTAGAGTTCCAAATTTGTAAGTTTAAACTGCAATAAACACAGAAATTCTTTTAAAATTATTTTTTGAACGTTTAAGCCGAAGCCACTTAAAATGGTTTGTTATTTAAAGTTACACAGGGCGTATGAGTATCATTTAATTATAATACTGCCAAGAGTCATAGAAGTATTCTATTTGAATAGTAATAAAAGTGCAGCCAAAAACTACTTCATAAAAATAAAAATAACAACGTCTGCAGTTATGATATGAGGTGTTGAAGGAGTTAAGATGTGTACTTCTATGTGTGTACTATTATATTAATGATGTACACTGTTATAGCACTTTTGCTATATCCGGCTCGAAGGACCAAAATGTACTGTTATTGATGTAGATGTACATTGTTTGGGTATTTTTTAGTTACTGATCTTATTTCAAACAATGTTGTGTTTTTATACAAAATTATCTTAAGACTAATTTCTACATCAAGGTTAAAGTAATATGATTTTATTTTGTTATTGTTTGTAAAAAAAGGTTAAAAAAGGACGGAAGTCCCAACACTAGGGATTTTCCTCCTATTGTTTTTATGAATATATTTTAATTTGATAATTTAGATACGAATGCTCAAAAATGTTACTATTTCTAAGAATTTATGTGATAATGGATTTATAATAATAAACTATAATAATTAAATATATAAATTCATGTTCATGATTGAACAATGTGGATGTACAATATATGTAAGATCCTTAATTGAATAATATGATATTTATTATTATCAAAGCTGGCCTAAGATGGTAGTTTTAAAAGATTTTTACAATTAGAATTCAGTAATAAATGTGGGAATCTAACGTGAAACTTTTTAACAACCGACGGCCGATTCTTTTTAACTTTTAGAAAGAATTATCGTTATGGTGTTGCTAAGCGATTTGCACGTTATCGACGTTAGTGAAGTAATTTATTTTGGTCGGTTTGTTTTTGTATATTTTAATCAATCACACTTTCTTTTAATCAAGATATTTATGATCAAGGTGTTCATAATCAAGATATTCATATAGAACGAACTTTTACGGATTTGAATGCACAGACTACATTTTCATTAGGTAGGGTGAATGCTCCAATGGCTATGGAACGCCCATTAGCCGATAGAAATATTACACTCATTATCCTGTTATACCTCTTATTTTCATTATCAATAATAATCTTTCAACAACAACAATAGTCTTGTAAAGATAACTAATAAGAGTTAAAAGTTATTGAGGTTCACAAGTTTTTTTTTATTACTTTTTAATTATTTACTTGT